CAGTCATAAAAAGGAACGAAATTGGGTCATTTGTTGAGACGTGGATGGATCTAGAGTCTGTCATACAGAGTGAAGTAAGTCAGAAAGAGAAAAACAAATATTGTATATTAACGCATATATGTGGGACCTAGAAAAATGGTACAGATGAACTGGTTTGTAGGGAAGAAATAGAGACACAGATGTAGAGAATAAATGTATGGACACCAAGGGGGGAAAGTGCGGGGCGGGGGGGGGCTGGTGGTGGGATGAATTGGGAGATTGCGATTGACACGTGTACACTAATGTGTATGAAATGGATGACTAATAGGTACCTGTGGTATAAAAAATCAAATTCAAAAAGTAAATAAATAAATAAAACAATGACGTCCTACTTATCTCTTCATAGGAGTACTGGGTTCAGTCTTGCATGTGCGTAGATGTTCCATAATATTGGTTGCGTAAATAGAAAGTTGGTGTCTTTCTCCACCATTTCTTTCTTCATGTTTGTTTTTTCTCTGGATGATGTTCTACCAGCAAGAAGAGAGAATACCTCTTTTTAGTAAATTTCTCAGCAGTAAATGGCACTCTGACAGTTGTTAAAATGGTAAAGAAGGCTTTTTTTTAATATCTTTATTGGAGTACAATTGCTTTACAATGGTGTGTTGGTTTCTGCTTTATAACAAAGTGAATCAGCTATACATATACATATATCCCCATATCTCCTCCCTCTTGCATCTCCCTCCCTCCCCCCCTCCCTATCCCACCCCTCTAAGTGGTCACAAAGCACAGAGCTGATCTCCCTGTGCTATGCGGCTGCTTCCCACTAGCTATCTATTCTACATTTGGTGGTGTATATATGTCCATGCCACTCTCTCATTTCAGTCCCAACTTACCCTTCCCCCTCCCCATGTCCTCAAGTCCATTCTCTACGTCTGCGTCTTTATTCCTGTCGTGCCCTACGTTCTTCAGAATCTTTTTTTTTTTAGATTCCATATATATGTGTTAGCATATACAGAATTTGTGTTTCTCTTTCTGACTTACTTCACTCTGTATGACAGACTCTAGGTCCATCCACATCACTACAAATAACTCAGTTTCGTTTCTTTTTATGGCTGAGTAATATTCCATTGTATATATGTGCCACATCTTCTTTATCCATTCATCTGTTGATGGACACTTAGGTTGTTTCCATGTCCTGGCTATTGTCAATAGAGCTGCAATGAACATTGTGGTACATGACTCTTTCTGAATTATGGTTTTTTCTCAGGGTATATGCCCAGGAGTGGGATTGCTGGATCATATGGTAACTCTATTTTTAGTTTTTTAGTTTTTTTCTTTTTTTTGCGGTATGCGGGCCTCTCCCTGCTGTGGCCTCTCCCGCTGCGGAGCACGGGCTCCAGACGCACAGGCTCAGCGGCCACGACTCACGGGCCCAGCCGCTCCACGGCATGTGGGATCCTCCCGGAACTGGGCATGAACCCGTGTCCCCTGCATCGGCAGGCGGACTCTCAACCACTGCGTCACCAGGGAAGCTCTATTTTTAGTTTTTTAAGGAACCTCCATACTGTTCTCCATAATGGCTCTATCAATTTACATTCCCACCAACAGTGCAAGAGCGTTCCCTTTTCTCCACATCCTCTGCAGCATTTATTGTTTGTATATTTTTTGATGATGGCCATCCTGACTGGTATGAGGTGATACCTCATGGTAGTTTTGATTTGCATTTTTCTAATAATTAGTGATGTTGATCATCCTTTCATGTGTTTGTTGGCAACCTGTATATCTTCTTTGGAGAAATGTCTGTTTAGGTCTTCTGCCCATTTTTAGATTGGGTTCTTTGTGTTTTTGATATTGAGCTGCATGAGCTGCTTGTACATTTTGGAGATTATTTCTTTGTCAGTTGCTTCATTTGCAAATACTTTCTCCTGTTCTGAGGGTTTTTTAAAATGGTAAAGAAGGCTTTTAATTGAAGATTATCACAATATGAGTATTGCAATAGGGAAGAGAGATTGGGCTCAACTCTGAATACAAGGATGAGTGGGGATTTATGGCCAAGGAATAGAGAGATGTGGTCAGTGAGTGGAATTGCCAGTCACTTAAGCCAAGTACACATCAGCCTTGGTCCCTCCCTTTCCCTGGCCCTACCTCCAGCGCTTCTGCAAGTCCATCCTCAGCCATCTTGCTCTCTTGTCTGCAAAGCTGTGAGACCCCCTTTTCTGCTTCTGCTCTTGCTATGTACAATCTACTTTCATGTTGTAGCCAAAACTATCTTTTTTTGAAAACACAGTCAAATCATGCCATTTCTAGGCTAAAACCCTAAGTGGCTTCCCCTTGCACTTAGAACAAAACCCATACGTCTCTCCAGGGCCTGCAGTTCTCTATGTGCTGTGACCCTTAACTAACTTTGATTTCATCTCCTGCTCTTTACCTCCTTACCAGCTCATGACACTCCTTCCACCTAGAGGGCTTTTGTGCTTGCTGTTGCCTCACCCACCCATCCCTCCGCTTGCCCCAACACTTTTTTCCAGGATTACTGCATGACTGGATCCTGTGAAACAAACGTCTCCTCCACCCAGAGCCTGTTTCCAACCACTACCCTCACTGAAATAGCAGCGTCTGCCCCACACTCATCACATTCAGCCTGTGGACCTGTTCATTGTCGGTCACCCTCCTCTATAATGTGAATTCCATTGGGGCAGGAATCCTGACTTTGTTATCGAAAAAATTATTATGATACTTGTTAAAGTGGTAAAGAAGGTTTTTAATCCAAGATTATTGCAATATGAGTATTGCAACAGGGAAGAGAGATTGGGCTCAACTCTGAATACAACAAGGATGAGTGGGAATTTATGGCAAAGGAGTAGAGCGATGCAGTCAGCGAATGGAATATTACTAAGAGCAGACATCAAGGCTGGGGGATTTTCTCTAAACTGCCTTAAGAGGATTCTTGCTAAAGGCACACCAAAGACTTATGCATCAAAGAGGGGGATGAGGGACTTGATCAGGTATCAAGGCTGGGGAATTCTTTCTAAACTTAACAAGATTCTTGCTGAAACTGGGCCAAGCAAGCCAAGGACAGACAGGATGGGGCCGAAGTTGAGTCCTGGCTCAAGTTTCGTTAAGGAGGGATTCTTTGTCAACTTCCTGTTCTTTTTTGTGTCTCTCAATAACACTCTCTAATACAAATAAAGTATAATATATTATATTTTAAAATCTAATATTATTATTTCAAGACAAAGGTAAATATACTATACTTTCTTATAGCCACATTGTAAAAAGTAAAAAGAAACAGGTGAAACTAATTTTAATAATATATCTTATTTAATCCCATATCCACAATGTTATCTTTTCAATACGTAATCAACAGAAATATTATTAATGAGCTACTGTACATTCTTTTTTGTACCAAATATCGAAAACCCGATGGTATTGCACACTCACGGCACATTTCCATTCAGACTAGCCACGTTCCAAGGGTGAAAAGCTACATGAGGCCCAGGGCCACCTATTGGGCAGTACAGATCTGACAACTGTAGGGGTGACTGCACAGAGGGTATCCAGTAAATGTCTACTGAATAAATGCATGAGCGAACTAAGAATAAACCATAATCACAAAAATAGCTGTTTTCTTTCCACAAGTGTTCAGAATATGTTGATGCCAAGTTTTACTCCAGCGGCGTGTATAAATAGAGTATGTGTTGCTTGATTTGGGAAAGAATGGGTATTTTAAATAATAAAGAGAATATCACATGTCAAATATGATTTAATTTTTCACTCATCCTTGTTCTATAAACATCTGGAGGTAATGATGGAAGGAACATAGCTATGAATTTTATCCACAAAGTTGTTTATGCACCACAAAGGTGTTTGTTTTAACCAATGATTGAATAGATGTTTTCACCCATTAAATTTTTTTTCTTAAAGTATAAGGCTACAGTTTTCACATATTCTTTGTAACAAGATTATTTTAAATATCTCGTTTACTTTTGTTGCTTTAAATTCATCCTCAGCTTCTACATCGAGTAGCTACAAGTGATGGCATTTGGCATTGTTTATTCACCACAAAATGTCAGAACAGTAAGAGCTGGATGCCTCAGCTAGGAACAGTAAGATGCTTGGATTTACTGTGCATTCTGTGGCTTCAGAATATTTCTTTTTTCCATTATTGTTCTTCCCTCACCCAATGTGTTAAATTAAGGCTGAGCAAAGATATTTATTCCTATTTACCATACAGTTGGGACGTGTCTATCTAATTTTCTTTCTGTTTACACTGTGAATACATTCAACTGTAGCACTGATCTCCTCCAGTGAAATCTATTGTGGTGTTCCTGACAGCTGTCATTTCTGAATCAGATCAACCAAATACCTACTAAAACACCCAAGAGTTCAGAAGACTCATGAATATATTTACCTGATATGCTGTCTATGTCTTATATAGTTTTATTTGATAGCTTTATAAATCCAGGTTAAAAAAAAGAAATAGGAGTTAGAAAACTAAACCATAAAACAGGAGAGAGATTGCATTTTAGCTCCAGCTTTGTGAGGGATGGGAAAAGAATACATCCTTCATCCCTTCCCCTCCCCACAATTAGATTTCTCGATAGAGACAAAAAATGTTTTTGATTTAAATCTTGAATTTTGGGGGCAAGCTTTATAAAGGCCAAATCAATGCTAAATCAGAGGTATTTACAACATCCACAAATTTAGGCCCAAGTGGATACTTAGAAGCTCACATAGACCTAAATGATGTTCTCCCAGATGGTGAATTAATGTAATTTTAGCAGGAAGCAAAGTTGCACAAATATGCAGTATTGCGGCCTCACACTGATTTAATGTATCTGTACCCACCACAGCGCAGATGTGGTATATCATTTTAGAGCCAGTTTTTCTATACTACACACTGAAGATGAGATTTGGGAGTTCAGTAAATTATGATTTATTTTGCAACTAATGACTTGTTCGAAATTGCAGCTTTCTGTGAACTGTGTATAGAAATCACATTGGCTGTGTTCTTTGCACAGGGTTTGAAAGGTGACGTGGGTCCGCATGGTCCACCTGGCCCAAAAGGAGAAAAGGTACCGTATTGACCCAGGAAAGTGCCAATCTTTTCTTAAGAAAACCCCGAGAACCTATGAAGTGACTTTTCATTGATACTGTTTAACTGCCAAATGTTAATTTTGTTAAAATTAACCAAAGGCTGTTATGTTAAAAGCATCTGAACAAGAAGAAAAGCCTTTTGGTTCATTTAATTAGTTTGAGGAGATTAAATGCACAATTGCTAGTCGACATTAATTTGTGTTTATAAGATTTCCCTTTTCTCTCCCTTGCTTAACAGTATTAAGTATTGCATCACCAAATTAGCAACCATGTCCTGTACTGGGGACCTTTGCCAATAGCACTGAGCTGCTACCACAATGGTGAAGCAGGCAACCTTTGGGGCGAAGGAGGCTAACTGTGCATCTCAGTCTTAATCTAAATGCCCCATTTCCTAACATCTTTTCTCATATGTCATTTTATAGTGGCCTATTGGCAGGGACCTTGAAAAGAGAATTATGAGATAATAAAAAGCAAAAGTTGTTTTGAGTAAGGTACTTGGATGATACTAGTTTGATGACAATTGTACGTGTAGACGTTTTGCACTGTATTTTGTTCTCCATTCTCAGCACATTTAGAAATCTTTGTCTATCTTCAATATTTACCTCTACATTAAAATTGACTTTGCAAATTGGTCCCCAATGACTGATTTAAGCTACATCAATGTTCTTTAACAGCTATCGGTTATTTTTATTCAGTTGTTCCCAGAATAATGATTACACAAGGCTAAGTCCTCACTTTTGAGGTGATTATGTTAGATGAAAAAAGAGAACGTCATAGAGATGCTCCCAACACGAGAATACAGTGTGCCAGTGCCCCATGCCACATGGTGTTCGTTCCACAATGTCCATTTGAAGGGGGATTATGGCAGTGATGCTTGTCTTTTTTTTAAGCAATGACTTTATTCAATTCACCAGTGGCACTCTGGGATTCAATTTATTTGTCTGCAAAATGAGGGGTTATGATGAGATGGAGGGTCCCTAAGAGTCTGTCAAATTTAACATTCTATGAGATGGAGGGTCTCTAAGAGTCTGTCAAATTTAACATTCTAAGACTTGCCTTTTAAAAAAACTTAATTTCTTTTATTGAGGTGTAGTTAATTTACAATATTATATTAGTTTCAGTTGTACAGCATAGTGATTCAAAATTTTTATAGATTATACTCCATTTAAAGTTATTGTAAAATATTGGCTATATTCCCTGTGCTGAACAGTATACCCTCGTAGCTTATTTATTTCATGCTTAGTAGTTTGTACTTCTTAATCATTTACCCCTATCTTGCCTTTCCCAGTGATGCTTGATCTTAATGACTAAGAGTTCTCATGAAATAAATAAGGATGCTGATACAATAAAGCATATAGGTGACATATTTATAAATTGGAAAATGATAAACTTTTAGATTAACTATATTTTTTTAGATTTTAAATAGTTTGTCAGTATATCCACCTGGTAATTTGTATTCACATAGGTCAGCAAAGCAACATTAGTATTTAAAAATACATGAATATAGGCAAAGCCTCATACAGTTGTTGGCAAGTGCAAGGCCAGTTCAGCAAAGCTTTAAAAGAGGCAGTGGGACTGCTTCTTGCAGCTGGAAGGCATGAAGTGGGGAGACCCACTTATTATTTCTTCTGATCCCCATGCTAACTTTGTCAGAAATATAATCTGTCGTCGTGACAATTCCCAGCTGCTCCATTGGCAAGTAACCATATTTGAAGAGATATTCTTTCTAATTTTGGATTAGTAGACAAAAGAATGGAAACTAGATTATTTTAGCTTTTCAAAACAAGTTCTGCCGCTGCAGAAAGCATGGGGATGCACAAGGCGATATTTATATCATGAGAGCTAAAAGCACATGATCAGTTTTTCATTGTGCAGAGACCTTTATCAAGGTAAAATTCTACTTTTCTTTTCTTCCAGATTTATCTAGATATTGCTTTGATCCATTCAGAAAATTTATAAATAACATGAGCAAAAAGGGACTATTGGTAATTGCAGCTTTTCTTTCATCTATTTTAGGGAGATCTGGGACCTCCAGGACCGCCAGCCTTAACTGTAAGTATTCTTGAAGTCAAAATTCAAAACAAATACGTTAAACCTGTTTATTATTCACATTACATCATGATTAAACCAGAATTTAAGCCACTGGATATTTTGAGAACTGAAAGTGACTTGAATAGATCTAGGCAGACCTCCAGATTTTAAAGATGGGGCATCTGCCCACAACACTGAAGGGCTTAACCCGAGGTCATGCAGGTAGTTCTAGAAAAGCCTGGAAGCAGTACCTAACCTAAGCAATTTCCTCCACCCTCCATGTGGTTCATAATTTTGCCCCTTAAAAGTTTGATTATACATCCTTAACATGACATTTAAAGTTAATGGAAGCAGAGACAGTTCTATTTACTCTAAAAACTGTAAAAGAACAAAATAAACTATAATCACCCAATGTATAAATATAGCTACCTATTTAAACTGTTACATTCTCCAAAATCTGTTCAAGACTGTTGTTTTTTCCTATGTGAGTTGCTTCTAAGATTTGCACATGATAAAATGTCAGTATTTCAGAAACAGATTTATGAGAAAAGTTTATAATGTGCGCATAATGGGATTGTTCTCAATTAAATGGTTCATCATTTATTAAACATTTAATCATAAGTATGTAATGATTTTATATTTGGATACAATTTGCTGTTACTGATTTTCTTCGTCGTCCATTAGGGTTTCTCATTTAACTTAAAGATTTGGTCTGAGAGTGACACTAAGCCTAATGGAAAAGAAGAAAAGCTTTTAAATAAAATCATGTGTAGCCTGAGGTCTCTTGAATTTTATGTTGCTATCATCTAATGACATAAATTAAGAATTTAAATCATCAGTTTTCCGAGACCTGTCATGATCATAGAAGGTTAGGTATAAAGAAGTCTAGCATCTGGATGGGGGTCTTCCAGCAGAGCAGCATAGGACTTGCAAAGGCTGTGTGACTTTGATAATATTCCTATTTATCTTTGTACTTGAAAATGTCATTATGAACACTATGTTAATAATGTCTTACACAGATAATCTTTGCAATGCTCACTTGAAGGGCAAATATCTCTTCATAAGTGGAAAATCTAAGGAACCAAACAAATGACTTTCTTAGGACTATCCAAGTTCAATTCACACTGGAATTCTCTGCTTGAAGCTTTGATTTTCAAGACAGAAATAAAAACTATTTGAGAGGAGACTTTAAATGCATATTATTCAATTTTTTATAATTTGTGGAGTTTATTTCTTACATTATTTGACAGTGATTTCGAGTTAAGCCTGCTCATTTTATTTAAATCACATGCTTGCTTTTCTTCAACTGAGTTATGTGCTCAATCATTCCACGTAGTTATCTGATTACCTAGTTGTTTTCAACTTGTGTTTGAAGACCAAAATGCAATCTCTATCTGTATCATTTCACCTGATAAGCAAATTTGACCCCCTCAGCCAGAATATTATATTGGACTCTATCTATCTTGTGGATTTTTAGTGACAGCTGACATCTTTCTGCCAGGTAGCACCTTGTAGATGACTCTTTGCCCTATTCAGCTGGCAGACACCAAAGGAGTACAAGCTGATCTTTAGACTTATCTAAAGATATGAGAGAGACGCTAAAGTAGGAGGTCAAGATGGCAGATTAGGAGGACGTGGAGCTCACCTCCCCCCACACACACATCAAAAATACCTCTGCAGGTGGAACAGTTCTCACAGAAAACCAACTGAAAGCTAGCAGAAGATCTCTTACACAGCCAAAGCTGGAAGAAAGATTCCCGCATAACTGGGTAGGACAAAATAAAAAAGGCATTGGGACAGGACCGGTGCCCCTGGGAGGGAGCTGTGAAAGAGGAAAGGCCTGCATGGGCAGCCCCTCGCCCTTGGAAACCCTTCACTAGCTGGGAGGTCCATCGGGACAGATAGAGGAGCCGGAGCGGGCCTGGACTCTGCCCACAAGGAGTCTGTGTGTGCTGGCTTGTTAGCAGTCAGGGCACAGAGAGACTGGTAGTGATGGCTGCCACCTTACCCACCTCCCAGCCTGAAACGCACTTTGGGTGGAGCTGCTAGTACACAGAGGAGGTAGGAGCTGAAACTTGGGCTTCTGTGGACGAACCCTGGGAGAGGACTCGGTCTAGCTGTGTGTAGACAGCTCCCAGGGCCTAGAGTGTAGTCCAGGCCTAACCCCAGAGCCTGTTGTTAGTGCACATATGGCAGAGTGTGGGCCCACCATAGGGACCCCCCCACAATTAGCCTGTCCACGTGGGGCACTGCTCCATTGGCAGGCTTTGTGCGTGCACGCACTGTGGGGCAGGGGCTGACACCTGAGCCCATAATCAGCACTCCCACAGTGGGGGCAGGGGGGAGGTGGGCCCTGCAGCAGCAGACTTCATTGGTGTGCACACCAGTGGGGGGCACTGTCCACAGAATGGCACATCTCCAGCAGACAGGCCCTGGCGAGAAGTATGCAGAGGTTCCTTTCCCAGCAGGAGTGCTTCAGTTCCACCCACCTCACACAAAACTTGGAGCTGGAATCTTGGGGGAGAGGCTCTGGGAGAGCCCTACCACAGAGGAGGCCTAGGTCTCAGGTGGCAGCACACCGCTTCAATTCCTGCAGCTACAATGCCCTGATCCCCAGGGCCAGGCTTACACTAGGTCTGGGACAAACACAACAGAGAAAGGGATGTGACCTTGGGCTGCTTCTGAGCAGAACTGTGGACGCCTGAATAGGTGGTGCATAGGTTCACTGTGACCACATGGGCTTCTCTTGCTTCAGCACTCACCTCCTTGGGACAGAGCACACACTTAAGGTCAACAGAGCCTTATCAAACCCAACCTTCACGGCTTCTACTGAAACAACTGGGGAGCAGACCCCACCTCCAACAGGGTTGTGACAGCCACGGAGCAAAGAGGAGGCCCCACCCAATGTGCAGGGCAGGAATTGGATACCACGACACCAGTCATACCCTCTATCAAGGGGATAACAGCCAACACACTCTGAGGAGAGATGTGGCAGGCATCCGTTATGAAAACAGCTCTCACAGCAAAAATACTAGACTTACATAGTCTACAAAGGGATGCTCTGACATAAAAACAGCCCTCCAAGACCACAGTAGATAACTGTTTCTCCTAACTTCATAGAGTCAGAGAAGTATAAGTAAAATGAAGAAACAGAGGAACTACTCTCAATAAAAAGAACAAGTGAAATCCCCTAAAAAACAATTAATGAAGCATACCTCTTCAGTCTACTAGACCTCTGAGTTCAAAAAGGAGGTAATTAAAATGCTAAAGGAATTAAGAAAGATTTTCAATAGAAATGCAGATCACTGTAACAAGGAATTAAAAACTATAAAGAAGAAACAATCAAAATTAGACAACTCAATTGCTGAGACAAAAAATGAGCTAAAAGCAGACTGAATAATGCAGAAGAACAAATTAGTGATTTGGAAGATAGAATAATGGAAATCACCCAATCAGAACAGCAGACAGAAAGACAAATGAAAAAACAAATGAGGGCTTCCCTGGTGGCGCAGTGGTTAAGAATCCACCTGCCAATGCAGGGGACGTGGGCTCAAGCCCTGGTCCGGGAAAATCCCACATGCCACAGAGCAACTAAGCCCCTGTGCCACAACTACTGAGCCTGTGCTCTAGAGCCCACAAGGCACAACTACTGAGCCCATGTGCCACAACTACTGAAGTCCGCACTCCTAGAGCCCGTGCTCTGCAACAAAAGAAGCCACTGCAATGAGAAGCCTGCACACCACAATGAAGAGTAGCCCCCACTTGCCACAACTAGAGGAAGCCCATGAACAGCAATGAATACCCAACGCAGCCAAAAATAAATAAATAAAATAAATAAATTTTTTAAAAATGAAAGAAACATATGAGATCTATGGTATTATATAAAGTGTGCTAACCTACACATAATAAGAGTTCCAGAAGGGGAAAAAAAAAAAAGAGAAAGGGATCAAAAATGTATTTGAAGAAATTATGGCTGAACACTTCCCAAACCTAAATAAAGAAAGAGATATTCAGGTACAAGGAGCACAGAGGGTTCTGAACAAGATGAACCCAAACAGACCCACATCAAGACATATCATAATTAAAATGGCAAAAGTTAAAGAGAGGATTCTAAAGTCAGCAAGAGAAAAACAAAGAGTCAGTTACAAGGGAACCCTCATAGGCTGATTTCTCTACAGAAACTTTGCAGGCCAGAAGGGAGTGTCAATATATATTCAAAGTCCTGAAAGGGGAAAACCTGCAACCTAGGATACTCTACTCAGCAATATTATCATTTAAAAAAGAAGGAGAAACAAATAATTTCTCTGACAGAAACTGAAAGAATACGGCAATACTAAAGCTAACCTAAAAGAAATGTTTAAAGATCTTCTGTAAATAGAAAAGAAGCAAGAATCTATAGGAAAGGGAAAAACACAATAGAAAAGGCCAATATATAAAATGATTAAACATCACTTAAATAAGCCAGTGCAAAGATTAAAAAACAATTAAAAATGTTGTTAAAGCAATTATAACTACAATTAACAACAAAAAGATAAATATGAAGACATAAAATAGGACATCAAAATCACAAAATGCAGAAGAGGGGAGTAAAAAATATACATATATTTTTTAGAATGTGTCTGAACTTACATGACTATCAGTCTAAAGCAAGTAGATATAGCCCTGGGTTAACATACTTGAAAATCAGAGTAACCACAAATCAAAAACATACAACAGATTCACAAAAACCAAAAAGAAAGGAACTCAAGCATAATACAAAAGAAAACCATCAAACCACAAAAGGAAAACCAAAAAGAAAGGAACAAAGAAGAACTACAAAATCAGCTGGAAAATAAGGTTTAAAACGGTAATAAATACATCTTATCAATAATTACTTTAAATGTCAATGGACTAAATGCTCCAATTAAAAGACATTGAGTGGCAGATTGGATAAAAAACACAAGAATCTATAATATGCTGCTACAAAAGACTCACTTTAGGGTGAAATACACACATAGATTGAAAGCAAGGGGGTGGAAAAA